ATTTATTTATTTGACAGAGAGAGATCACAAGTAGACAGAGAGGCAGGCAGAGAGAGAGAGAGGAGGAAGCAGGCTTCCCGCTGAGCAGAGAGCCCGATGCGGGACTCGATCCCAGGACCCCGAGATCATGACCTGAGCCGAAGGCAGCGGCTTAACCCACTGAGCCACCCAGGCGCCCGGGGTTTTTTCTCTTAAGTCTTACAGTTTTGTTTTACATTTCTGTGATCCATTATGAATTAATTTTTGAGTATGGCTCAAGATAGGGATGCAAATTCTTTTCTCTGGGTAAGAGTTTCCAATTGTTTCAGCACCATTTGTTGACACTACTATGCTTTCTCTACTAAATTGCATCTGTACCTTTGTTTCAAATCAGTCATATGTGTGTGGGACTATTTATGACTCAGCTTTATTAAACATTAGTCTATTTATCTATCTTGTGCTAATAACAGACTTTTTTAAAAAATATTTATTTATTTGACAGAGAGAGAGAGAGAGAGATCACAAGCAGGTAGAGAGAGCAGAGAGCTGAGCAGAGAGCCCAATGTGGGGCTCGATCCCAGGACCCTGGGATCATGACCTGAGCCGAAGGCAGAGGCTTTAACCCACTGAGCCACCCAGGCGCTCCTTCAATGGACAATGGAATGACAATTTTAGAACACTGAAAGCAAACCACCTGCATATCCAGTTTTTGATAACTATAACTTCACAGTACATCTTGAAGTCAGATACATTAAATCCTCCAGCTTTGCTTTGCTTTTACAAAATTGTTTCGGCTAGGGGCACCTGGGTGCCCTTAGTGGGTTGAGCGTCTGCCTTCCACTCAAGTCATGATCTCAGGGTCTTGAGATCGAGTCCCATGGGCTCCCTGTTCAGTAGGGAGACTGCTTCTCTCTCTCTCTCTAATAAATAAATAAAATCTTTTAAAAAGAAAAAAAAGTTGCTTTGGCTATTCTAGGTCCTTTGTATTTCCATTTGAGTTTTAGAATCAGCTTGTCAATTTAATAGATGTTGACCCTTGAACAGCATTGGTTTGAGCTGCGCAGGTCCACCTGTATGTGAATTTTTTTGCCATAAATACAGTACAGTAATATAAATGTATTTTCCTTAGGATTTTAATATTTAGTTTACTTCAGTGTAAGAATACAGCATATAGGGGCGCCTGGGTGGCTCAGTGGGTTAAAGCCTCTGCCTTCAGCTCAGGTCATGATCTCAGGGTCCTGGGATCAAGCCCCATATCAGGCTCTCTGCTCGGTGGGGAGCCTGCTTCCCCCTCTCTCTCTGCCTGCCTCTCTGCCTACTTGTGATCTCTGCCTGTCAAATACATAAATAAAATCTTTTTAAAATTTTTAAAAAGAATACAGTATATAATACTTTTATCAAATGTGTGTTAATGGGCTGTTCATGTTACCTGTAAGGCTTCTTTCGGGTCAGCAGTAGGCTATTAGTGGTTAAGGTTTTGGCAGGTCAAGTTATACACAGGGGTGCTTGGTTGGCTCAGTCAGTAGAGCATGTGACTCCTGATTTTGGGTCGTGACTTCAAGCCCATGTTAGGTATGGAGTCTGCTTTAAAAAAAAAAAAAAAAGTTATACACAGATTTTTGCCTGGGGGGTAGTAGAGGGGGGTAGAGAGGAGTTGGTACCCCTAATCCTCCCCACCTGTTGTTCAAGGGTCACATGTACTTTACTTTTCTCTTAAAACTGCAATTATATATATTTGATGCTAACAGCATTGGGTTTATTTTTTTTTAAACCCAAGATTTCCCTGTTCATATCTTAGTTGGATGAAGCTTATTTTCAGTAGATTCCTCTGCAAAGACTAGTTGTGTTCTTGCACATTGTAAGTTAGTCTTGGTACTTGAACGATAGGTAGGGTGTATCACAAGATCCTTGGCTTATACTTTCTCTCATAAATTTCTTTTGGGGGGAGTTATTTATTTATTTATTTATTTATTTATTTGACAGAGATTACAAGTGGGCAGAGAGGTAGGAGAAAGCGAGGGGGAAGCAGGCTCCCTGCTGAGTGGCATCCTGAATGTGGGGCTTGATCCCAGGACCCTGAGATCATGACCTGAGCCGAAGGCAGAGGCTTAACCCACTGAGCCACCCAGGCACCCCATTTTTCTCATAGATTTCTATGGGACAGTCTAATACTGATTTTCTTTATCTTGTAAATGATTTGATCTTTTTGTTTATAGTCTGTAAGGTTTTTTTAGAGTTTTTTGTTTGTTTTTGTGTTTTTAGGCTTTATTCTTCAGGGACCCCATTTATACATAATTTAAATACTCTTTGCTAGTCACTCATATTTATCATTTCACTTATTGTTTTTCTTTCTTTCTCTCAGCTTTTCCTTGGGACCACTTAAGTCTTCAGTCAAATGTGTTCTTCTTTGGTTACTTTGTAGCCAACATTACTGTTTCTTCCATTTCTTTCTTGATTTTAACTCTTGATTCAAATCTCGCCATTTTGTCATCTAAGTTTTTTATTTTTATTTTTTTTAATATTTTATTTATTTGACAGAGATCACAAGTAGGCAGAGCAGCAGGCAGAGGCGGGGAGTGGGGGGGGAGCAGACTCCCCACCGAGCAGAGAGCCCGATATGGGGCTCGATCCCAGGACCTCGAGATCATGACCTGAGCCGAAGGCAGAGGCTCAACCCACTGAGCCACCCAGACACCCCCATCTAAGTTTTTTTTGTTTCTTTGTTTTGTTTTTTTTAAGATTTTATTTATTTATTTGACAGAGATCACAAGCAGGCAGAGAGGCAGGAAGAGAGAGAGGAGGAAGCAGGCTTCTCGCTGAGCAGAGAGCCCGATGGAGGGCTCGATCCCAGCACCCTGGGATCATGACCCGAGCTGAAGGCAGAGGCTTTAACCCACTGAGCCACCCAGGCGCCTCCCATCTAAGTTTTTTAAATACTTGTTTCAAATCAGTTTGTGGATGCTAGTTTAAGAATATTTAATTTCAGTTGGGTGTTGTGTTTTCTTCTTTTTGTGATTGTTATTTGGGAAGTTTTATCAGCTAAAATATTTTTTTTTTTAAGATTTTATTTATTTATTTGACAGAGAGAGATCACAAGTAGACGGAGAGTCAGGCAGAGAGAGAGAGAGAGAGAGAGAGAGAGAGAGGGAAGCAGGCTCCCCGCTGAGCAGAGAGCCCGATGCGGGACTCGATCCCAGGACCCTGAGATCATGACCTGAGCCGAAGACAGTGGCCCAACCCACTGAGCCACCCAGGCACCCTCAGCTAAAATATTTTTTATTGTAATAGCTTTGTATAAAATCTGAGGTGTCTTTAATTTTCATTTTGAAATGTCCTGTTTCCCTGATCTGACAATAACCATTGCCATGTGAGGATTTTGAGTTGCTTTGTGTTTTTACTTTTTTTTTTTAAGATTTTATTTATTTATTGGATAGAGGGAGACACAGCCAGAGACACAACACAAGCAAAGGAAGTGGGAGAGGGAGAAGCAGACTTCCCGCTGAGCAGGGAGCTCAATCCCACAACCCTGGGATCATGACCTGAGCCAAAAGCAGACAACCGCTGAGCCACCCAGGCGCCCCTATGTGTTTTACTTTTAAGAACACCCTCTCTGGGGGCACCTGGGTGGCTCAGTGGGTTAAGCCTCTGCCCTCGGCTCAGGTCATGATCTCAGGGTCCTGGGATCAAGCCCCACGTTGGGCTCTCTGCTCAGCAGGGAGCCTGCTTCCCCCTCCCCCTCTGCCTGCCTCTCTGCCTACTTGTGATCTCTCTCTCTCCCTCTCTGTCAAGTAAATAAATAAAATCTTTTAAAAAAAGAAAAGAAAAGAAAAAGAACGCCCTCTCTGGGGCATATGGGTGACTCAGTCATTAAGTGTCTGCCTTCAGCTCAGGTCATGATCCCAGTCCTGAGGTCAAGCCCCACATCGGATCAAGCCCCTGCTCAGTGGGGAGCCTGCTTCTCCCTCTCCCTCTGCCTACCTCTACCTCCCCTCTGCTTGGGTTCTCTCTTTCCCTGTCCTGTTCTGTCAAATAAATAAATAAAAATATTTAAAAATAAATAAAACAAAATGAAAATTGATTAGTCACTATTAATAATTTATAACCTTAGGGGCGCCTGGGTGGCTCAGTGGGTTAAGCCGCTGCCTTCGGCTCAGGTCATGATCCCAGGTCCTGGGTTCGAGCCCCACATCGGGCTTTCTGCTCAGCAGGGAGCCTGCTTCCTCCTCTCTCTCTGCCTGCCTCTCTGCTTACTTGTGATTTCTCTCTGTCAAATAAATAAATAAAATCTTAAAAAAATAAAAATAAAAAAAAATAATTTATAACCTTAAACATTTTGAGAATTTTTTAAATAAAGATTTTATTTATTTTTTTGTGAGAGAGAATGAGAAAGAAAGGGAGAGCATGGGAAGGCGGAGGGTCAGAGGGAGAAGCAGACTCCCCACCAAGCAGGGAGCCCAATGTGGGACGCCATCCCGGGACTTCAGGATCATGACCTGAGCTGAAGTCAGTCGCTTAACCAACTCAGCCACCCAGGCGCCCCGAGAATTTTTTTAATAATCTAGACATACTATTTTTTTAATAATTTTTTTAATAATCTAGACATACTATAAGCCAAGGGGGAAAGAATATTTTTTAGACCTCAGATTCTATGGTCAGGCTAGCATTACTGTAGTCTGTATAAAGTCAAGGTAATGGCCAAGTACTTTCCCACACTGCCAAGCTAAACCATTTATCGGCTCATAGAAAGGACTGAAACACAAGTTACCCTTAGACATACTTATTCATTAAATTGTGGAGCATTCACTTTTCAGCATACCTCTTAGAGCATTTACATAGGTCTAGCTTTGGGGGTAATGTCACATACTCTCTAAGTAGGTAGGTTTTCTTCAGTTTTATTTAGGATTTTAAAGACCTATTTTTAGTGTAATTTCATTATGTCTGGAGTAAGATGGCTCTTGATACTATCTAACATACATTTTGATGAAATCCATATAAACGTTTTTGTTCTTTACCCTTCCCAGAGTGATGATTCTGACATTTGGGATGATACAGCATTGATAAAAGCTTATGATAAAGCTGTGGCTTCGTTTAAGGTATGAAATGTTTACTAACTCATTTCCTTATTTCCTCATGTTAATCATTTGGTTAAAAAAAAATTAGCTGATAACATACTTAAAGTGTTAATGTACGTATCACTCAGTTCTAATTTTGAAGACCAGTAGATACCATTGCTTAATTAACTTACCTGATAATCGGATAATCTTCCTTTAAAAGTAGGCAGGTTCTCTGTATGTCATCCCTTTAGCAAAGGCAACTGGAGTAGAATTTTAAACACTAATTACTTTTAATGTGTTTGCATTGTATCAAACAATAGAAGTCCTCTAATTCAGATTAGCGGAAGGGCAGCCTGAATTACAATGTCCATTTAACAAGCCTTCACTGAAATAACAATGATAAATATCAGTAGTGCTATAATTAGTACTTGGAGAATGTGTATAGCATTTTAGGCACCATTCTACGTGCTGTGCTTACTTTAAATTAATCTTCCCCAAATCCTGTGAGTTGATTATCAAGTCAAGTGTTCCTGCTGGTAGGAATATACTATTCTTTTAGTGGCTGTAGTCTCTTTTTGTGGCCCAAACAAGACATTTACACAGTTGTCTGCCATTATCACTTTCCCTACCGAGTGAGGTATTTGGTTTTTTTGAGCACCATGCATGGGCCTTCAGTAGTCCAGGCAAAGAGCATATCCTCAGACCACCAGATACAAAGTCCGCTTCTTTCCCTCAGTCACTCCTGTAGCATGAGGTAAAGATCAAACCTGTATATCATCCTTGAAGCTGAATTCAGATTTGTCAGTAATGCTTTACAGTATACCCTTAGAGTAGAAGCATACTAATGTGGGGTTCTGTAAAATGCAGGTTAAAGTAGGGCTCAGTATTGGATGGAATTAACAATATTGCAGGGGGAAGTAGTCTGAGTAGAGGAAAAAATAGTGTACGTTTATTTATTTTTAAAGATTTTTATTTTAGAGAGTATGAGGAGGAGGTGGGGCAGAGGGAGAGGGAGAGAGAGAATCCCAAGCAGAGCCCAGAGTGGGATTCAGTCTCACAACCCTGAGATCATAACCTGATTTGAAACCAAGAGTCAGGGGCGACTGGGTGGCTCAGTGGGTTAAAGCCTCTGCCTTCGGCTCAGGTCATGATCCCAGGGTCCTGCGATCGAGCCCCGCATCGGGCTCTCTGCTCAGCAGGAAGCCTGCTTCCTCTTCTCTCTCCACCTGCCTCTCTGCCTACTTGTGATCTCTGTCTGTCAAATAAATAAATAAAATCTTTAAAAAATAAATAAATAAACCAAGAGTCAGATACTTAACCGACTGAGCCACGCAGGCGCCCCAATAGTTTGCTTTTAATTGTGTTGAGTGTGAAGTAAATGTGAAGAGAAGAAATTTGTAATTGGAAATGTTGGATTAAATGAAGGAGAAATGTCACCTGAATAATAGCTTTAAAAGTCTGCTGGCATAGAGGTTATAATGGAATTAATAGGAATAGATGATCCTAAGCAGGTAAAGAAGGGTGGACAGTTCTTTTCGGGAATGCCCAAGTTTAAGACTTGATCAGAGAGGTAATAAAGCATTGGATCCTCTGCATTGCTATATCCAAAATGTCATGAATTTCAAGACAAATGATTAGCAGAATATAATGTTACTGAAAGGATGAGAGTGAGGACTTAATTAAAGGGGTCCTTAGAGGGATGCTTGGGTGGCTTAGTCGGTTAAGGGCCTGCCTTCAGCTCAGATCATGATCCTTGGGTCCAGGGATCGAGTCCCACATTGGACTCCTTGCTCAGCAGGGAGCCTGCTTCTCCCTCTGCCTGCCACTCCCCCTGCTTGTGCGCTCACTCCCTGTCTCTCTCTCTCTCTGAGAGATAAATGAATCTTTAAAAAATAAATAAAATAAATAAAAGGGTCCTTAGAGCTGATAGCTCTATGATGCCTTCCAGAATAGTTTTTGTATTGTGTGGGATGACGGAAAGAGGAAATAGAAGCTATCTGAGTTGATGGGACCTTCAGACCAGCTTATGGTGACTGAGTTCTTTTGTTACACTTCTTTGATGTTTTACCCTGTAACACGAACATTTGTATTCTTGTTTTCATAGCACGCTCTAAAGAATGGTGACATTTCTGAAGCTTCAGATAAACCAAAAGGCACACCTAAAAGAAAACCTGCTAAGAAGAATAAAAGCCAAAAAAAGAATGCTACAACACCCCTGAAGCAGGTTATTTTTAAACATTGAGATTTAACTTCAAAGAATTTGTTGCTGTTTTTAAGAATAGTGTAAAATATTTTTAACTTAAATGATTAGTATAGTGTTTTCCGTTGACAGGTAATCACAAAATTCTAAAATAGCTATTAAACTTTCTATAGTTTAGGAACATGAGTGTTAATAAAAGTATACTGAATTGGTTGGGAATGATCCATTGAAGATTGTGTTTACTTTATGTGAGGGGTGTGATAGAGGAACCCAGTGCTATTTGAGAGGAGTACTACAGAACCCTAATCTGAATTGGCAGTGTTCTACTTAAGCTGAGAGATGGCTCTGCTTTCTTATCCCCCCACTTTGGACCACACATTCTATGGTCCCTTGAACTAATACCCAGGAACCAAATATTCTGCGTGGAATCAGATCTCCTATTTAAAATAGTAGACCCGAAAGCTAAATATTTTAGTGTCTCATCAGTTCCTTTAGTTTTATCATTACCAAGGGGGAAGAGAGCTAACATTTGATAAGCTCTCCCTGTGTCCTGGGTCATAGCACAGGACACTTTACACGATCTCCCCCTTTCTGTTCTTTACAGCAAATACATGAGGTAGATTTTGTTGTAATTACTTAACAGATGAGGAAAATGAGACTTAAAGAGATTAAGAAACTTGTCCGTGATTATATAAATGGCAGAATTTATATGGCACATCTGTGGCTTGATGATATAAACAGAATTATATTGGAAATTCATATTTACGTGTTTTTGGCCCCAAACCTTTTTATATGATTCTGCATTCCGGATGAGTTAACTGGAGACTGTCCCCTTCACAACCTACCATATCCTACCTAAACAAGATTGCAGTTCATCCTCTTTAAAAGAAGTATGTGAGTCTATGTATCTTTGGTTTCTTTTATAGTGGAAAGTTGGTGACAAATGTTCTGCCATTTGGTCAGAAGACGGCTGCGTTTACCCAGCTACCATTGCTTCAATTGATTTTAAGAGAGAAACCTGCGTTGTGGTTTATACCGGATATGGAAATAGGGAGGAGCAAAATATGTCTGATCTACTTTCCCCAGCCTCTGAAGTAGCTAATAATATAGAACAGAATGCTCAGGAGGTAAGGATACAGAGGGGGAGAAAAAAGAATTCTTGGAAGCCAAGAGGGGATGAGAAACTAAATACTATAACTAGTTGTTAGTTTGATCTACTGAAGCACGAATTCTTTTTTTTGTTTGTTTGTTTTTTTAAGATTTTATTTATTTGACAGAGAGAAAAATCACAAGTAGGCAGAGAGGCAGGCAGGGAGAAGTGGGGAAGCAGGCTCCCCGCTGAGCAGAGAGCCCGATGCGGGACTTGATCCCAGGACTCAGGGATCACGACCTGAGCCAAAGACAGAGGCTTAACCCACTGAGCCACCCAGGCACCCTGAAGCACTAATTCTTTTTTAATGATACCTTTAGGGACGCCTGGGTGGCTCAGTGGGTTAAGCGTTTGCCTTCAGCTCAGCTCGTGATCCCAGGGTCCAGGGATTGAGCCTCGCATCGGGCTCCCTGCTCAGCAAGAGCCTGCTTCTCCCTCTGTCTGCTGCACCCCCTGCTTGTGCTCTCTGTCACACTTTCTCTCTGACAAATAAAATCTTTAAAAAAAAAAAAAAGATACCTTTATAACAAAAACACATCTGTTTTTTCTTTCTAAAGAATGAAAACGAGAGTCAAATTTCAACAGATGAAAGTGAGAACTCCTCCTCCAGGTCTCCTGGAAATAAACCCAATAACATCAAGTCAAAAGCTGCTCCATGGAACTCTTTTCTCCCTCCACCACCCCCCATGCCAGGATCGGGACTGGGACCAGGAAAGGTACATTTCTACTCAGAAAAGTTTTCCGAGGAAATAGTTAAGAACTTTCCACTCCTCCATTAAGTGAGTTTTAGCTTTTCTGTGAGACTGTAATTTTCTGTAGATATTACGTATCTACACTTGAAAAAAAAAATTTTTAATATTATTTATTTATTTATTTAACAGACAGAGATCACAAGTAGGCAGAGAGGCAGGCAGAGAGAGAGAAGAGGAAGCAGACTCCCTGCTGAGCAGCGAGCCCAATGCGGGACTCGATCCCAGGACCCTGAGATCATGACCTGAGCCAAAGGCAGAGGCTTTAACCCACTGAGCCACCCAGGCACCCCTTGAAAATTTTTTGTAAAGGAAATAAGGTAGTAATGTAATGCAGAGTATTTTATACTGAAAGACTTTCCCAACTATTTATGGAGGATTGCATGTTAGTCTGATGATTTAGTGAACTTAAGTTAGAAGGTATTACAGTGTTTTACAGTCAGCCGGGTGTTAGCTCTAGTTCCCCACATCACTTGGGTAAGTGTGTTAAAACTGGAGGAAAACACAGCATTTACATCTAATACAGATTAAATCCTAGGGTGCTCCCAGATTGTTCTGTAGAATAAAATGCAAATAATATTTTCCTATATGGTTCTTTCGGCTGTAAGTAATGAACTTAGAAAAGATTTTTACTGGGGCACCTGGGTGGCTCAGTCGATTAAGTGTCTGCTTTCAGCCCAGGTCATGATCTCAGGGTCCTGGGATCGAGCCCCGTGTCAGGTTCCCTGCCCAGGGGGGAGTCTGCCTCTCCCTCTGTCCCACTTCCCCCATCTCCCGCTCATTCTGTCTCTCATATAAATTAATTAGTTCAATCTTTGGAGAAAAAAAAAGATTTTTATTTTAAGTTGTGTCATGTGCGTGTGTCCCTACCCAGTTGTTTTGTATAAAGCAGTGATTTCTTCACTGGAGGTTCTAGTATTCAGGCAGCAATAATAATAAATTAAAAATCATGACTTACTAAAGCTTTTTCTGAAGATTTTCTGTGAGAGATTTCTTACTAGGTTTATATTATAATTTCTAGAATGATCAGACCTCTTAATTTATATATCATACTTTATTGGTCTCAGGGCTGGTTTTTCTTTTTTTTTTTTTCTTTTGGACAGGAAGTTGGATTTATTGGTGGGCATTAGTGGGCATGAATACAACAGGAGGGGGTAGTGCCAAGGTTCTCGTGAGTGCAGAGCCCTCCATTTGTCTGAAGGGCTATGGTTAGAGATGTATTTGACCCTACAGCCTTCTAAGATAAGCCACTTTTCAGCTGCCATGTCTTCAAATTCATCTGCATTGAACTTAGTAAAGCCCCACTTCTTGGAGATGTGGATCTTCTGGCGTCCAGCGAACTTGAACTTGGCCCTGCGTAGAGCCCCGATCACATGCTCCTTTTTCTGCATCTTGGTAGGGATGGACATGATGACTTGGCCAATGTGGACCCTGACTGCTGTGACCTGGGGCTTTGCAAAGGCACCCCACATACCTGTCTGCAGCCTAAATTGGAGATAGCCATGAGGTCAGACCTCAACATCTACTGGAAAGGGCTATCTTCTTAGGGCAACCCATACAATCAACAGGTTGCATACAGTACCAATGAGGCTACTGTTTGCAGCCATAGCATGGTTTTCCTTATTACATGTGAGGTTTACTAATTTGTACAATATATGCTCTACAGTAATATGTAACTCAAAGGACATCCGTAAAAAGATTACACAATAAAACTTAGGTCCCTTAGGGCAACCCATACAATCAACAGGTTGCATACAGTACCAATGAGGCTACTGTTTGCAGCCATAGCATGGTTTTCCTTATTACATGTGAGGTTTACTAATTTGTACAATATATGCTCTACAGTAATATGTAACTCAAAGGACATCCGTAAAAAGATTACACAATAAAACTGTGGGGGAGATAGTCTTTTGTGATTTACATACCTTGGTAAATATATTATCTCTGATTTATTAGGTAATTAGGCGTCTTTCTTAGTTTGATTTGATTTTCTGAATGTTTATATAGAAAGGAAATGAGGGATATCTAGATTTATGAGTCTTCACTATTTGGTATATGAAATTCTATTTCATCTTTTTTGATATGTATAATATATTATTCTTGGTGATTATTTTGACTCTTACGGCACTGAATCATTTTCCTCCTTTCATGTGTAAATGGGTACATTAATCTTCCTTTGGAATGTTCTTTACAGCCTGGTCTAAAATTCAGTGGCCCACCACCACCTCCACCACCACCACACTTCTTATCATGCTGGCTGCCTCCATTTCCTTCTGGACCACCAGTAAGTGCAAAAGAATTCAGATTAAACGTTGCTTTCATACATACTTAGGGATTTAGCAGCACATGGGTGATTGCAAAATGTCCTATGGTCAGATTCTAGTGGGTAACAATTGGAACCAAACCCCAGGTTTTTGTTTTTAATGCCCTTCTGCTACCCAGACTCAGTTCTCTTATTGGCCCCAACTCTGAGCCTTATATTCCTTCCTGTCAGAAATTATATGTCATTCTATGGGAGGTGTCTCTTACTTAAAAGGATTTAATTGCACTGTAAGTAAGGATTAATCTTTTGCTCTTCCAGATATGCCTGGATGTTAACTTCGCATAGACTGTGTGGGTATCTAATGGTAGACTTCTGGATAGCAGCAGTAGGCTAGATACAAGACGCTTTTTAGCAAATTGCATGTGTTCCAGTGGGGGCAGCGCAGTTGTTCTACCCACGACCTTTACTTAACATGCTGTCTGGGTGGTTTTTGAGTAAAACCATAGAAGTATGTATACATGCGATGTCTGGGTGGCTCAGTCAGTTGGGCATCTGACTCTTGATTTTGGCTCAGGTCTATGATCTCAGGGTCATGGGACTGAACCCCACATCAGGCTCCATGTTCAGCATAGAATCTGCTTGAGATTGTTTTTCTCCCTCTGCCCCTACCCACCAGCACACGTGCTTGCGCTTTCTCTCTCTGAAGAAATAAAATCTTTAAAAAAAAAAGAATAATATACTTGGTCTTTTACCCATAGATAATTAATGGAATGTAATAATAGTTCAAAAGTCAAAACAATACCTGACATTTTACATGATGTATCATCCTTTGATTCTTTTTTTTTTTTTTTTTAAGATTTTATTTATTTATTTGACAGAGAGAGATCACAAGTAGGCAGAGAGGGCAGGCAAGGAGAGAGGAGGAAGCAGTCTCCCTGCCAAGCAGAGAGCCCGATGCGGGGCTCGATCCCAGGACCCTGAGATCATGACCTGAGCCGAAGGCAGAGGCTTAACCCACTGAGCCACCCAGGCGCCCCGTCTTTTGATTCTTACTTATTTTGATTTTGTTGGTCTTTTGTTGTTACTCGTTGGCTTTCTCAAGATGTCATTTTTTTTTTAAGTTTTAAATAGGAAATGGCATAAAATATAGAGGAAGATAGAACAAATATCCAGCATTCTTTATGTAAAATGGATGTCCAGACTTCAGTTTTTGTTTAATGACTTTAAAGTACGTCTTTCTCCATTTCCAGATAATTCCCCCACCACCTCCCATATGTCCAGATTCTTTTGATGATGCTGATGCTTTGGGAAGTATGTTAATCTCTTGGTACATGAGTGGCTATCATACTGGTTACTATATGGTAAGTGATCACTTAGCATCTTTCCTGACAACCATTTTGTGGTTATGTGACTTTGTTTTGTGACTAAAAAAGTGTTTTGTTATGTTTGGTAGATCCTAAGGATTGAAAATCACCTTAAAGTTAAAAAACACACAATTATTTGTTTAAAGCTTACATTATTCTTGTATTCTTGTATTCTTGTATTGTCCCTGCTAAGTGTAACTGTTTCATGTTACTAGATAATGTTGATAATATGTTTTCTAATTTAATGATGCCCTTTCCAAATTATTTTCCAGTCTTATTAGCCTTTCTCTTTTTTTTTTTTTTTAAGATTTTGTATTTATTTATTTCACAGAGGGAGAGAGATCACAAGTAGGCAGAGAGGCAGACAGAGGGAGAGGGGGAGGCAGGCTCCCTACCGAGCAGAGATCCTGACGTGGGGCTCAATCCCAGGACCCTGAGACCATGACCTGAGCTGAAGGCAGAGTCTTAACACTGAGCCACCCAGGTGCCCCTAATCTTTCTCTTTCAATCTGAAATAAAAATGCATTGTAGGAGGGGCATCTGGGTGGCTCAGTGGGTTAATAAGCCTTTGCCTTTGGCTCAGGTCATGATCTCAGGGTCCTGGGATTGAGCCCCGCATCAGTCTCTCTGCTCAGCAGGGAGCCTGCTTCCTCTACTCTTTCTGCCTGCCTCTCTGCCTACTTGTGATCTCTGTCAAATAAATAAATAATCTTTTTTAAAAAATGCATTGTAGGAGATGGACAAAGAATGAATAATATCTTGAAAAAAGAAAGACAAAAAGTGTTAAGTTCTTTTTGTGCATAGAGGAAGGTTTGAGGTGATAATCCAGGCTGGACGTTAGGGACAGAAGCTCCATACTTATCATGTGATATATCAGTCTGTCGCAGGCATGTAGTATTGGGATTTATCAAGAAATTTTTAAATTTTTTTTAAAAGATTTTATTTATTTCTTTGACAGAGATCACAAGTAGGCAGAGAGGCAGGCAGAGAGAGAGGAGGAAGCAGGCTCCCTGCTGAGCAGAGAGACTGATGTGGGGCTCAATCCCAGGACCCTGAGATCATGACCTGAGCCAAAGGCAGAGGCTTTAACCCACTGAGCCACCCAGGTGTCCCAAAAATTTTTAATTTTTTTAAATTTAAAAATCAATAAATTTTTATTTACGGAATTTTACATGTGATTTCCTTTCACTGCCAATCACTGTAGTTCCTCCAAAGTCAGAATCACCATCTTCAAAATAGAACTTTTTTTTTTTTTTTTTTTTTTTTTTACTTTTTTTTTTTTCTTATTTATTTGACACAGAGAGAGACAGTGAGAGAGGGAACAGAAGCAGGGGGAGTGGGAGAGGGAGAAGGCTTCCCATCAAGCAGGGAGCCCAATTCGGGGCTCGATCCCAGGACCCTGGGATCATGACCTGAGCCGAAGGCAGATGCCCAACAACTGAGCCACCCAGGCACCCCAAAATAGCACTTTTAGAAAGAACTTTTGTTCAGCCCACACTTGTCAGTGTCAGTCCACAGTTCTTTCAGTTGAGCTTCTTTGATCTTCCCTTAAATGTGGACATACTTCACAAATTCTCTACCTGCAACCTTTTGGATCCAACTTCTTGACCTTAGGACCTTAGAAATCGAACTGCAGTCAAATGCTGTACCCCTGAGCTATACCCTAGAAATCAAACTGTAGGAAATACACTGATTGCTATTTTGGCAAATGATCTAAAAATTTTTATTCCTTGATTTTCTCTAATATTGAAAAGTCTTGTAACTTCCACTCTGCTCCATGAGCCTGGCAGAACATATTACCGGCGTCATTGTCTCCACAGCAGCAATAACCTTGCTGTGATGGAAGCATAACCTCTGTCTCAAGTCACTGTAATTTTTTTTAAGTTTTTTAAAAGGAAGATGTTACACCATGCTGAGTTTACGATGTGATATCGTAGGTACTTGAATTTCTGGTTAATTAATGTATAGAAGAAGAAAAACAACTGACTTGAAGGTGTAATTTTTTAAATGTATTACCTGTACATGCTCCCATTAATACTATTATTTAAAAGCTAATGTTGAGCTGTTGTAACCTTGGTGTATTTATATTGTATGATGAAATTCCCCTTTTAATAACCAACAAGATAATGGAAAGTAACAAATTAACAGGTTATACTTTGAGACCAATCATTTAACTTGCTAAGCTTCCATTTTCTGCACTTCACATTGCTCTCCATATATTTTTTATTGTGAAATATTTTGAAAAATGTAAGGGCGACTGGGTGGCACAGTTGGTTGGGTGTCAGACTCTTGGTTTCAGCTCCGGGTATGGTCTCAGGTTCGTGGTCTCAAACCCTGCCTCAGGCTCACCACAGAGTCTGCTTGGGGTTCTCTCCCCCTCTCTCTCCACGCCTCCCCTTTTACATACACACTTGCATGCTCTTTCTCTCTGAAATAAATAAATCTAAAAAATATATGTATAATATATAAATAAACTATTGATGTAACTTGTGATTATTTTTTAATTTTTTAGAACAAGAGAGAGCTCTTTGACCCAGATGCACCATATTTTATTTTCAGCTTTATATTATGCATAGGTTCATGGTTTTTTTTGGTCATTGTTGTAAACTTTTTATTGAAATACATGTGCAGAAAAATGCATGTATTAGAAGTGAACAGCTTGATTAAAAAAAACATTATTGGGATGCCTGGGTGGCTCAGTCCATTAAGCATCTGCCTTCAGCTCAAGTCATGACCCCACAGATCAAGTCCCACTCTGGGCTCCTTGCTCAGCAGGGAGCCTGCTTCTCTCTCTGCCTGCAGCTCCCCCTGCTTATGTGCATGTGCTCACGCTCACGGGCTTGCGCGCGCACTCTCTCTCTCTGACAAATAAATAAAAATCTTTTTAAAAGAAAACAAGGAGCTGTATTTAAAAAAAAAAAACATTATCATAATCCTGAAGCATCCTTGTGTTTCCTTCTGATCACTACCATTCCATTTCCCAAGGGTAACCATTTTCTTGACTTCTAACATCATAGATTAGTTTTGCCCTTTTTTTAACTTTTATGATTGGAATAAAACTGATGAAGGGTTCAGTGTCACCACCCTGAGATTGTGACCTGTGCCAAAATCAAGAATCAGATGCTTAACCAACTGAGTTACCCAGGCACCCCAACATTTTGAATATATTTAATTTGAAGGATGGCATGGATGAAACTTAGACTTGGTAAAATTATATTTATAAGTACTCCTATTTGAAGTACTTGATCATACTGTTATTAAAACCTAGCAGATTTTCACTGGACTTACAACTATGATAATGACCATTAAATTGCAGATGTTTGCTTTTCTTTCCTGAGTTGAAGCAGCGGTTCTTGGAAATGCAGCCTGGTCCAGAATATTTGCCACAAATTCATGACCAACCTATGACTAACTTGTTCCTAAGAAAAGATCTTTAAGGGGTGTTACTCGTATACCTGCATACATTAAAATGTAAAACATTTACATTCAGAAGTGTAAAGAAATCGCAGTTTCCTAGATATTGCATTATTTCTCTTTGAAATTGTTATCATTAAAAAGAAGCTACTACTCATTATTAAGTTTTCTAACAGCTTAAATATGTTTTAACCACCACCGCCTACAGCTCACTTGGTTTTGTTTTTTGTTTTTTGTTTTGCTTTGGTACAAAAGGTGTTCTATTAAGGCATGGGGAGAAAAAGCTGCTTCCCTGGGATTGTGAGGCACAACTCTCAGCTAGCCTTTTTTTTTTTTTAAGATTTATTTATTAGTGGGGGGAGGGGCAGAGGGAGGGGGAGAATCTTAAGCAGGCTTCTGAGCCCAGAGCCCTATGCAGAGCTCATTCTTGCAACCCTGAGAACATGACCAGAGCTGAAATTAAGAGTCAGACACTCAGCCACATGAGCCACCCAGGCACCCTTCAGCTAGCATTTCTTAACCATTGCTTCACAGAAACATGCCTGACAACTTTTCCATTAGCATCCTGTTCGCATTAGGACAGCCAGACAGGATTTGGGTCCGTCTCTTAGCCTCTGGAAATCTAGAAAGCCAAGCATAATGCAGATGATTTAAGAGTAGTGTTTTTGAAATAACATGAAATAGGCTATTCTTTGGTACTTATTAAGAGTAAATCACTTTTTTTTTTTTTTTTAAGATTTTATTTATTTATTTGACAGAGAGAGATCACAAGTAGATGGAGAGGCAGGCAGAGAGAGAGAGGGAAGCAGGATCTCTGCCGAGCAGAGAACCCGATGCGGGACTCGATCCCAGGACCCTGAGATCATGACCTGAGCTGAAGGCAGTGGCTTAACCCACCAAGCCACCCAGGCACCCAAGAGTAAATCACTTTTAATATATCTTGTGTTCTCTAAAGTCTAGATTAGTAGTAAAGTGGAAAGTTGATACATGTGTAGGGAAAGAAGGTCACGTGGAAGCCAGAAGAGAGGAATAGGGCACTTGGGTTAGGTCTGACCAGGAAAAACATAAATATTTGAGTACTGGTCCTGCTTTTTTTTTAACTTCTAAAATGTTCTTTAGTACATAGTCTCTAATGGTTTTGTTTTAATAAATGAGAGTGACACATTGTATATTTTACTTAACAGAATTAAGGTATAAGTTGGCTCAGGAACATCACTGGACTTCGTGAAAGAAAATTTCTTAATTACAGCCTAATAGTTGCTTACTCTGGGATCAATTTTAAAGCATATTTAAAGGCTGTGAACTTATTTTCTGATGATACTTTCTTAAGTGGAACTAGTAAAATGTGTTATATGAACAAAGTGGAAATGTGTATGCTATTCTTTTAAATTCCTTTATGTTTCCTTACAGGGTTTCAAACAAAACCAAAAAGAAGGAAGGTGCTCACATTTCAATTAAAGAGTAAGTGTACCATTATTATAAAAGTGAACCTTTTGTATAAATTTCACAACATGTGTTTTAAAAAATTGAAACGGTGGGGTGCCTCCGTGGCTCAATTGGTTAACCATCTGCCTTGGGCTCCAGGTCATGATCCTGCGGTCCTGGGATCGAGGCCCATGTTGGGCTCCCTGCTCAGTGGGGAACCTGCTTCTCCTTTTCCCTCAGCTGCTCCCCCTGCTTGTGCTTGCATGCATGCACGCTCTCTCTCTCTCTCTCTCTAATATATAAAACCTTTTTTCAAAAAAAAACTTTTTTTAATGAAATGTTAAAAAATAAAAAAGTTAATAGAAAACTATTAAGGGGCGCCTGGGTGGCGGAAGAGAGACAGGTGAGGTGACATACTGGAAGAGTGCCTTCATTAAAGGACTGGCCATAGGGCGCCTGGGTGGCTCAGTGGGTTAAAGCCTCTGCCTTCGGCTGGGGTCATGATCTCAAGGTCCTGGGATCGAGCCCCGCATTGGGCTCTCTGCTCAGCAGGGAGCCTGCTTCCTCCTCTCTCTCTGCCTGCCTCTCTCTCTACTTGTGATCTCTGTCTGTCAAATAAATAAATAAAATCTTAAAAAAAAGGATTGGCCAGAGATCACTATACCTCAGTCACGTTTAGTAAACATAGCTTTTCTGCATGGTTGCCATTAATGTAAATAAACTACAGGGTTAATGGTTTTTAACAGTTAAAAACTTCTAAGGCACCTGTTGTTTGAAGCTCTTGATGAGTGTAAAAACAATTCAACTCAGAAATCAAATTCTGAACCTTGAATAAGAGCAATTCCTGCCACTGCAGACAGAGTCTGTATTTTGTATACGGCAGTTTGTAGAAGACATTCATTATATAGTTCTCTCACTAAGTACTTGGCTTTGGTCATTTTTATGTATGAATCATAGCCTTTCAGAAGGGCTCAACAACATTTGTACATAGCCCACATTTTTTTTCACAGTACCTTTGTTTGAGGTATAATTTATATACAGTAAAATGCACAGATTTAAAATGGAGAGTTTGGGGGTGGCTAGGTGGCTCAGTTGAGCATCTGATTCTGGATTTTGGCTCAGGTCGTGATCTCGGTGTCCTTGGATCAAGCCCCCCTTGTAAGATTCCCCATTCAGCAGGAGTCTGCTTATCCCCCTCTCTCTCTGCCATTACCCCTGCTCTCTCTTGCTCTCTGTCTTGCTCTCTCCCTCATTCTCTCTGAAATAAATCTTTAAAATGAGAGTTTGATGTTTTGAGAAGGCAGATCATTGTTAACTACACCTTAATCAAGATATAGAACATTTTCTTCAGTATAAAAAGTCACCATTTTGAATTCTGTGATCAAAGATTACCTATTTTAGAACTTTATATGAGGGAATCCTATAATATGTACTCTTTCACACAGGACTGTTTTTAGTTATGATTATGCATGAGTTCAGCCGTTGTTTTAAGATACTGTATGTAACATATTTTGGAGATAACAAGTAATATGGTTAAGGAAAGTAATTTATGAGCTTTCAAGTTCTAATCATTTCATTACTAGTTATTATGACACATAAATTCGTCTTTTTTATATTTTAAAATGGCACATAATTTGGAATTTACATTTCACTTCATTCATTCATTCATGTCCATTGAGGGATTTTATTTGGATGTATACATTATATCCCTAGAAAAAGAATCCCAGGATTTTCCCTCCTGTGTGTTTTCATCTTGCTTCTTGATAGTCCATGATGCCAGCTGAGTTTGTGAGGACAATGAAACCAAACTGATGGGACAGGAACATTATTCTGCCATGTTTCTAGATCTTTCAGTTATACATCAGATCTGGGGCTGATCATACGTGTTTAACCTTCCCATGAGGTTTACAGCAATTTTCCCAGCTCTGTGATCATCAGTCATTTCTATCACCCATGTAACCCTGCTTCGTCATCACAGTTAGAAACTGAATGAGGACTCTGGAGCATGGCCTAATAAGAACTCAGCACTGTTAATGCTCTTGAGAGCATCAGCCAGGCCATTCACAGGCACCGCTGTGGCAGCCCGGAAGGATGGGGGAGAGCCGTATTTCACTAAATAAAACCAGATCTTGGTTTCCAGGCAGAAGACAGATGTGAAGCATTGTAGTCTTTGTGTTTAGATAAAGACTTCTTGCTAAGAGTAAGTAAAATCTTACTTTATGGAATTTGTTTTTGGTAGACTCCTTAGGTTTATTAGTTTGGGTTTTTGTTGTAAAGGAAACTAGAAACTGCACATGAAAGACTACTGGGTGTACTAGGCTTAGTTTACTTCATTTGATCTTTATAGCACCGTCAAGTTAGATACTACTATTCCCATTTTACTGACAAGAAAAAGACTCATAGAGGTGAAATGGCTTTTCCTTGGGTACAGAGTAAGTGATGGCACTCCGTATGACCTCAGAATTCTCCCTCCAGCTCTCAGCCCCCCTGCACTGCTTCCAAGCTCCATGGTATCTGCATAATTTAGGATTTGGGCAAGTACCTAAGTAGAATTTTTACATAGATTTCTGGAGCTCCTCATTTTCAAATTCCTGCTTTCTAGACTCTACCTCTTTAGATTCTAGGTCCCTTATTCCAAGGCCCAAACTCTCTTTTTCCACATACGAAGAACAATACCTGTTCAAGCTCTGCCTTGGAAATTGTGTCCTCCCGAAATGGGGTGAGTGGAAAACTCACCTTAAGTGTTTGCTTTGTTCATGGATCTCTGCCCTGTGCTATTTGTTGCCCAATGCCCACTTTCATAATCTATGGAAGGAAGACAGGTATACTAGTACCGTACCTCATGTTATTTTTAAGTTTTATTTTTTAAGTTATCTCTACACCCAATGTGGGGCTGAAACTCAGTGACCCTGAGGTCGAGAGTCACACAGTCTTCAGACTAAGCCAGCCAGGCACGCCAGTTCCTCCTATTTTTTTTTTTTTTTAAAGATTTTATTCATTTGACAGACAGAGATCACAGGTAGGCAGAGAGGCAGGCAGAGAGAGAGGAGGAAGCAGGCTCCATGCCGAGCAGAGAGCCCGACGTGGGGCTCGATCCCAGGACCCTGAGACCATGACCTGAGCCGAAGGCAGAGGCTCAACCCACTGAGCCACCCAGGCGCCCTATTTTTTTTTCTTTTAAAAGATTTTATTTAGGGGCGCCTGGGTGGCTCAGTGGGTTAAGCCGCTGCCTTCGGCTCGGGTCATGATCTCAGGGTCCTGGGATCGAGTCCCGCGTCGGGCTCTCTGCTCGGCAGCTTAGGGCAACCCATACAATCAACAGGTTGCATACAGTACCAATGAGGCTACTGTTTGCAGCCATAGCATGGTTTTCCTTATTACATGTGAGGTTTACTAATTTGTACAATATATGCTCTACAGTAATATGTAACTCAAAGGACATCCGTAAAAAGATTACACAATAAAACTTAGGTCCCTTAGGGCAACCCATACAATCAACAGGTTGCATACAGTACCAATGAGGCTACTGTTTGCAGCCATAGCATGGTTTTCCTTATTACATGTGAGGTTTACTAATTTGTACAATATATGCTCTACAGTAATATGTAACTCAAAGGACATCCGTAAAAAGATTACACAATAAAACTGTGGGGGAGATAGTCTTTTGTGATTTACATACCTTGGTAAATATATTATCTCTGATTTATTAGGTAATTAGGCGTCTTTCTTAGTTTGATTTGATTTTCTGAATGTTTATATAGAAAGGAAATGAGGGATATCTAGATTTATGAGTCTTCACTATTTGGTATATGAAATTCTATTTCATCTTTTTTGATATGTATAATATATTATTCTTGGTGATTATTTTGACTCTTACGGCACTGAATCATTTTCCTCCTTTCATGTGTAAATGGGTACATTAATCTTCCTTTGGAATGTTCTTTACAGCCTGGTCTAAAATTCAGTGGCCCACCACCACCTCCACCACCACCACACTTCTTATCATGCTGGCTGCCTCCATTTCCTTCTGGACCACCAGTAAGTGCAAAAGAATTCAGATTAAACGTTGCTTTCATACATACTTAGGGATTTAGCAGCACATGGGTGATTGCAAAATGTCCTATGGTCAGATTCTAGTGGGTAACAATTGGAACCAAACCCCAGGTTTTTGTTTTTAATGCCCTTCTGCTACCCAGACTCAGTTCTCTTATTGGCCCCAACTCTGAGCCTTATATTCCTTCCTGTCAGAAATTATATGTCATTCTATGGGAGGTGTCTCTTACTTAAAAGGATTTAATTGCACTGTAAGTAAGGATTAATCTTTTGCTCTTCCAGATATGCCTGGATGTTAACTTCGCATAGACTGTGTGGGTATCTAATGGTAGACTTCTGGATAGCAGCAGTAGGCTAGATACAAGACGCTTTTTAGCAAATTGCATGTGTTCCAGTGGGGGCAGCGCAGTTGTTCTACCCACGACCTTTACTTAACATGCTGTCTGGGTGGTTTTTGAGTAAAACCATAGAAGTATGTATACATGCGATGTCTGGGTGGCTCAGTCAGTTGGGCATCTGACTCTTGATTTTGGCTCAGGTCTATGATCTCAGGGTCATGGGACTGAACCCCACATCAGGCTCCATGTTCAGCATAGAATCTGCTTGAGATTGTTTTTCTCCCTCTGCCCCTACCCACCAGCACACGTGCTTGCGCTTTCTCTCTCTGAAGAAATAAAATCTTTAAAAAAAAAAGAATAATATACTTGGTCTTTTACCCATAGATAATTAATGGAATGTAATAATAGTTCAAAAGTCAAAACAATACCTGACATTTTACATGATGTATCATCCTTTGATTCTTTTTTTTTTTTTTTTTAAGATTTTATTTATTTATTTGACAGAGAGAGATCACAAGTAGGCAGAGAGGGCAGGCAAGGAGAGAGGAGGAAGCAGTCTCCCTGCCAAGCAGAGAGCCCGATGCGGGGCTCGATCCCAGGACCCTGAGATCATGACCTGAGCCGAAGGCAGAGGCTTAACCCACT